GGAGAATGCTCAAGATCAGCTGGAAGGACAAAAGAACCAATCTCAGTGTCCTACAAGAACTAAACACAGAAAGAGATCTCCTTGGAAAAGTGGCCCGCCTCAAGATGGGGTACTTCGGACACATTCTGCGTGGCAGTGGGAGCCCCTTAGCAACACAAATAATAGAAAGCCAAGTAGAAGGAAAAAGAAAGAGAGGCAGACAGAGAAAGCAGTGGTTTGATAACATCAAAGAATGGACAGGTCTCACATACTCAGAAGCTAAAAGATTAGCACAGGATAGAAACAAATGGAGAAAGACAACAAGAAGATGTGCAGATGTGGTCGCCAATCGCCAGCAACTGACGGCGGCAACCAGGTAACCAGGTATATATATCCATTCACTCAATGCTGGACTATTTTATCAATTTCCCTATCCTTTTCAATAATTGAACTGATTATGAATTTTGGAGGTTCAGAGTTAAATGCGAAGAAAAGTATGCTGTATGTTAAACATATTATCACTGTGAAACAACATACTATGTGGATTGTGAAGCCATTCTTGTGGCTGAAAACTTACTGAATTGCAGAATTCAGCTGTGTATCTAATACATTTTAGCATCACGTTTTCATTAATCCTGATCACGAATTTGACAAAATTGTATGTATGCAAGAATGTGTTATTTGATATAACTTACGTTTGCCTTTTGTTTTTCTCATTGATTTGGTTTCCTGGAGCGTCCTCTCGATCCTCCGGTCTCCTTCACCATCAGCTAACCATTGATTACAGATAAAGGTTTGCTCTACACCGGCTGCAGGGCAGTCTATTGCAACCTAGAAATTAGATGTAACAAATAAATGACATACTTGGAAGTTTCTCTCGTAATCATCGGATTCAGACAAATGTGCGTTCATGTACATGTACAGTAAAACTTCTTTCTTAAAATATTTGACTGTATTACAAAAAGGTCAAAATCACTATTTCAAATCAGAATTAGTCCTGCATCATTAGTGTTATCTACAAATGAACTATTTGTCTCAGAGGAAGGGGGGTTAGTTGTCAAAGAGAGAGACATACACCTGTAAATAAACGATTAAAGCTCTACCCGATTATCTCTATCGACTATCTCTCTACTCTTCGGTCTCCTTCATCATCAGCTAACCATTGGTTACAGATACATTATGTTTTTTAAACCTACAGAGTCAAACTTATTATTTAAATACCTGACTGGATTATAAAAGACAGACAAATCCCAATATTTCAAGCCAAAGTTAGTCTTGTAACTGATGGGACATCCCAGGTTAAAAGCCAAATTGATGCACCTGTGTCCTTGGGTAAGACATTAATCTTCATTACCAAGTCCCTCAGAGAGGACTTAAAGCTGTCGGTCCCCTGGTTGCTTACTCACAAGCATAGATATGCTTTCTTAGCAGTCAGGTAACAACTAGGTGTTGTGGCGAGCGCCTGTAATCCAGCTAACAATGGAAGTTACAAACTGATTCAGCCAAACACACAGGTGCGAAACTGTGTCACGTCTTTTGGATGGTTATGTTTAAAGGTCGGTCGATCCCCAAACATAAATAATTATATATTGTTTGTTTGTTTTTATTTCTGCATTTTCAAAATAGAACATAATCATATACATAAAGTAACAAATATTTTTTCATTTTACATAATTATACATTTTTAAGTGCATTAAATAAGATGCATACAAACACAAATATAATTTCAATGAAAAAAGATAAATAACAGAAAACATAGGAGACCGCCATCATGAGCAGGAAGCTTGAAATCGATGGCGGCCTCGAGAGAATATATGATTGATACACGTCTGTAAAAGCCCAATACACACACACAGGTAAAAAAAAAAAAAAAATTTAAACCGACCAAGCAAGCATCACTCTTACCCTGTCTAAATGCCAGCCAGCCCCAGGGCCTGAGTTATCATGACCGACATCGATCCTTGAGAGGGGGCTCAGCATCGATCCGATCTCCGCCGAACAGACAGCAGTGCGCCCTCTATCGAAGTTCCCATCAAGCCAGACCTTACCGCTCGTCTCTTCTCCGTCCTTACCGCCGTACATGACGATGTAGACGCGTGCGTCGGTACCGGCCTGCCGCTTGTCGCTAGTGGTTACGCGTATCTCATACGGAATACCTGTGAAAAAGAGACAGTCAAGGAAGTATTTGAATTCATTCTACATTAATTTTTTTTCAATGTAAACATATTCGCAATTTTGTGCATTGCTTTGGTGAAAAAGGTGAAAAATTGACATATACTCAATATTTCTTTCATAACAGTACATAAACCATGTACTTGATATTGTAAATGCTGAATAAGTACACTACACAATCGTAATGTAAAATTCTTTTAAACTTTTTAGACGATTTCCCAAAAGAGAGGGTACAAATCACAGTAATAGAAATCACAATATACCTTCAATTTGATTTAGTTCAAATTGTTGATAAACATTAAGATTGAAAGAAATCACCAATGTTGATCATCCCATAACATTTACCAGTCTTATAAACTTTTAAAAAAACTGAGTTGATCACTGATGCTCCTCAAAACAGCAACTGGATTTACCTTTTGACCCCTGACCTCCGAAGTAGAGCTCCCTTGTGATGAGTCCATCATCTTCGTCTCTAGCTAGCCATCGTCCGCAGGGGAACTCATACGTTGCATTTAGCTCTAAGTCATCTATGATGATCTGGAGAATAGAGACAGGGGGGTGTTTCACAAAGATCCTAAGTTGAAGTAAGTTGGACTTAACAATTATGAAAAGATGTAAGCATCTCTGAAAATATTTTGTAGGACTTACTTTAAAAGCCATAAAATGTTGATTCAAATCATTCATATTTTTTGATTATCAAGGAGAGTTCATGTTCTTGATGTGGAATTTATGAGAAATCTAATATATTTGAATCTGGACTTGAATGAAGTCCAGGCCGTTACCTTGTCCAGGAACCAAGCAGGACCAGGTCCTGTGTTGTCATGGCCTATCCTGACTTTCTGCAATGGTCCAAGAGCGATGGAGTCGATTACAAACTCATCCTCCCTACAAACCAAGGAATTGAACACTCATTACAATGGAAGTTGCTTTACATTGAAGAGATAAACACACAAATTATGTACATATTATATAATAATTGTACATTTCTTTTCGGAATTGTATTTTACATTTTTGTATTATATTTTCCTTGGATTTTTTGTTGGCTCCCTCAGTCTGTTTGTAATTTTTTTCATGTTTTTTTTAAAAATATTTAAATTCAGTAACAATTCAACCGTAAGGGTTGCGAGTATTGAATAAAATAAAACTTGAATCTTATATTCAAAGACGTATTTGAACAAGGAGATAATGCATGAGAAAATGGAAAGGAATAGGAAAGAGAAAATACACCAAGTCAACCAGAGCGTAGCATCCCCTCGCTGAGTACAAATGGCCTATACTTAGCAATCTTTGTATATTTAATTAGCTGTGACATTTGAATATAACATTACTTATTGAATGAAAACCACATTTTTGAATATATAATTAGGTATTTTTGCATATTTAATGACCTATGACCTTTGACCTACATACTCCGAAATCGAACTTTGGCTACATTTTGAAACCATGTACCTTCTATCAAATTTCATTAAAATCTGTAAACCTTTACTAAAGTTATCGAGCGGAAACCAAATTTTCGGACAATAATAATAGTAATTTGAACGAAGGAGAGAAAAGGGAGATGGATCGAAAGAGGAGGGGGAGGGGTAAAAATGTCATGAGATACAACGAGACAGAAACAATGTTTGAACATCTCTACATCTTCCTTACTTTCCCTTCTCGAAATTGTTCTTAGAGTTGTCCAGTTTGTGTTCCCCGGAATCCCCGCCTTCTCCAAACACGGTGATGAAAACGTTTGCGTCTGTTCCTGCGTTGCGCTTGCTGGCTGTGAACACATGCACCTTATACTTGTGAGCTGAGAAAGAAATAACAATTAGTAAACAAGTGAATTTGTTCAAGTGATTAGAAATCAAATATGTTCTCTTCAATTTTATCTCTATTTTCCATCACTTCTGATGGATATTGAGTTATACAGACCTGCCAACCTCTGGAGTTCGAAAACTGTATTCTTTAATCCCAAAAGTTGTATTTTACTGACAAAAGTTGTATTCTTAAAAATAAACACGGACTGTTACGCGGATCAATGTCTTTAAAGTTCCTACATACCGAAAGAATTTTTTTATGGATCATTGGTTGAATATGCATGATTTCGTCACGACTGGTGTGATCGATGAACCAATGAACATCCCCAAATTGTCAATGTGAGATGGTTTATAGGACAGCATAGGCATTTCGCCATTGAAAATGCCACACACACACACAAAATAAAATTTTTAAAAATTATTTTAAAAAATAGAAAAAAAATTAAATTTTTTTTTTAAAAATAGTTTTTTTTTTTTTTTTGAAAATCGTATTTTATTGAGGAAAATCATACTGTCGTATTTGCTTCTAAAAATCGTACTAAATACGACTAAATCGTAATGGTTGGCAGGTCTGTCAATATCGTAGTAATCAGAGGAGGTCAATGCAAACATTACAAGGTCACTCTTATCCATTCCCGAGACTCAGGATGAGACTGCTGCAGACAGATATAAATGGAGACAAGCCTTAAAGCCCTACTGCACTACTTATAGCTACTTGCACCCTCTATATTACAAACAATGCATAATCAGTGACCACTGGAACCCCATGATCCTCCTTTTCTCATGTTAATTGAGAAATAACAATTTAGCGTAAACATTTACAAGTAAAAAAAGTATTGATAGTTCAAGTGTTAGAAATACATGAAAGATATTGTGTCTTTTTGTCTGTATTTTTTGTTGAATTTATCTATACGTCCTGGTCGAGTGGTTTGAGGCGAGCCATTTGTAGCCTTAGGATAAAATATGTTCAAAAGCAAAAAATACATGTAGTATTTTAGACTTCATAAATTCCACATCATTTTATGCTTTTTAAAATAACTTGTACAAAAATATATTTTCAAAGATGCTAATGGCTTTCCATAATTGTTAAGTCCAACTTATAGATAAGTTAATAATAATAATAATAGCTGGTACTTATAAAGCGCTTTTCAGCACCGAAGGCCCTCTCAAAGCGCTTTACAGATATATATATATATATTATTTGCATCCTACCAGGTACCCATTTAACACCTGGGTGGAGAGTAGCAAATGTAGATCAATGTCTTCCCAAAGGACATTAGTGTCGCGGTGGGACTCGAACCGCAGACCTTGTGATCCTCAGTCCGGTGACATATCCACTCGTCCACGGCACCTCTACTTAGGATCTTTGTGAGACACCCCCCTTACCTTTTCTGACAGCTAGTGGATCTCTGCTTCCGATGAGGTCTCTGGAGATCTTCCCATCGGCTTCATCTTTGGCGAGCCACTGGCTGCAGGGGAAGTAGAACTTGCCTCTCTTAGGGTTGTTGGTGTCGGTCACGACCACCCGGTCAAGGAACCAGCCAGGCCCGAACCCAGTGTTGTCATGCTCAATTCTGAAGTGGAAAAAAGTAAATTGTAATACAGTGAAACCGGTCTATAAAGACCACCCAAGGGACCAAGAAAGTGGTCTTTATAGGCAGGTGGTCTTTATGCAGAGATGCCAACCTTCTTCAACCAAAAAAAGTATTCTTACGAGCAAAAAACAGTATTTTGGGACAAAAAAACAGTTTTTTGAAAACATCTCTCACCTTAACATATCGCCCAACCGAGCAGCTTGAAAAAAACGGCAGTACCACGTATACGTACCCGGATCGGAGCACGACGTGCATACATTACACATGGATTGTTCGCAATGTGCGCAGTTTGGGGCCCGTATCACCATCCTGATTACATCGTTTGGAGACATAGGTGCATATAACACTTACAACACAAAGCCCATGATCAGAAATTAAGAAAAAAAAAACAACAACAACAAAAAAAAAAACGTAACAAAACATACAAAAAACATAATGCCGTATTCATAGCGAAAAAACGGAACAAATATGGCAAAAACGGAACAGTTGGCATCTCTGTTTATGTACACGTTCCTTTAGTAAATGTTTCAATGAGAAACCATTTTCAAGGGAAACAAAAAATGTGGTCTCTGTAAACAGGTGGTCCTTGTGGACAGGTCGTCACTAAAGCAGGTTTGACTTGTATAGGAAATCGTGATGAATAAAAATTGATTCAAGTTATTATATCAAAATGGTGAAAATGGTTATTGAGGAGCAGATAGGTTTCTATGCAGAATGTGAAGTACCCATCTGGGGGTCAGCTACGGCGGTGTTCTTTAGTGGATCCACCTGCAGAGTCATAGGGTAAGCATGACGGTGAATTCTCCCCTTTACGTAAGAATCTACAGAATGACTTAGTTATTTGAGGCATTTTCGGATTGTTGCCAAAACTAAAAGCCATATTGATCTGAGGGTATGGAAAATATCCATATCCAGTCTTCACATACAATGCATTTAGAGACATGTACATATTTATGGCCTAAAAAAAGAAGAACAAATAAATAATGTACATACAAGTAAAAAGTAATGTTCAATTAAATAATCATTATATTAACAAGAATACATACATGTAATACATGTTTTGAATACTGAATACATTATCATAAATGGTATTAAAGATAACCAAGTGCTATTTAATTAAAGTATCAGATATGTTGCCCAAGCAAAAAACTAACATAGACAGACATGTCAAACATTATTAATCAATATTCTTCTCAAACACGGTCTAGATTCAAGGCTTTACTGTACATGTGAGAAAGATATTTAGGGCTTCCTCCCTTCCTTCATTTTCATGATGAAATAGATCTCCCTCATAACCGGTGAATATCATAAATTATAAGATGATGACGTGTATCTTAATCAAGTGATTGGTTGAGAGCGTAAACATGACCAGCAATTTGTTTTTCCTAATGCGTAATTTGGATAATGACCGGTCATTATCAAAATCATATTATAAAACATCATTTTTAAAAAAAACATTATCTTATGAAACAAATAATACACATCATTTTTTTCAGACACTAATAAGATTACCCACTCTCTGTACCTTTGAAACACTCCAAAGGTAACTCGTGTGGGTAATTCTAACTTATGCCCTCACTGCTGTGTATTATTTGTATATTATTACCTTATTCTCTTGAGAGGACCCACATTGTTGCATTTGAGTTGGAAGATATCGCTGGTCCCTCTCTCAAACGGGTTAGTCCCTGGTTTGGTAGGTAGCTGCATCTTCTTACTCGTACCTCGGATACCGTACAGAGTGATGTACGCGTTGGAGTCCGTCCCCGCCCCTTTTCTGTCTCCCGTTACTGTGACGACCTCATACACTGAAACATAAATAATAAATCGAGGGTTCAGTGACACAAAGACGTAACTCCATATTTTGCCAAAATTAGTATTTGATATCAAAATGTTTAGAAAAATGTGGACTTTCCAGGAAACACAAAGACTTAACTCCACCCAATACCCGCATTGAAGTCAATGGCTAGTGAAACAATAACCACTTTTTCTCAAAATGGCCAAAATGGAGTTACGTCTTTGTGTCACTGACCCCTCCAAATATGTTTTATCATATTTCTTCATGTATAATATATATATTTTAGTAATAAATGGTAATGATGTACTGTAAACTATTTTTGCGTGATTTATTTTTTCGTGCTGAGCGACCCCAAAACATATTCGCAGGTTCTTACATTCGTGTTGCACGCAATTCAGCCTGTTCATACACTCATAAGAAGTCATGCATAAATTTTCACTAGCTCTCAAATTTGCACTTGTCGATCTTAGCGCGAAATCCACGTAAATTAATGTACCGCAAATATTTCTACTTTTACAGTAAATCAATTCAATTGATGATTCTAATTCTGATGGGTTATTGTTCAAGATTCAGAAAGTGGCTATGTCTACAGAATTATGTAAAACTTTATTTATTGCAATAACTACGGACAAAGCTAATCTTCTCAAGGAATGTTTGCATATTAAAGGGGCCGTCACATATCCAAAACGCAGCCCGCATGACTTCTCTGCAAACTCAAAAGGGCATTTTCGCCTGCTCTGCTCGATCACTGCAGGCTCCGCCGCGTTTTTTAGGGGTCGGCCGACGTTCACAGGGCACCGAAACCTGCTCCCAATTCGGAGATTTTCCAATGGCGATTCTGAGGTCGCAGAGCTCGTAAACAGGTCGCCTGTAGATTGCTCGGGCATCAGTAAACATTCAATTGATATTCGGGCGCCAATCCAACGATTTTAGACCATTTTGGGCTTCTAAATTCTAACGTAGGTCGGCAGAGCTGCGCAGCCGCCACACGAACGACCCCCTCCTGTATCCCGCCCAACTTGTACAAAATCGCCCATGCTGATGTCGGGCGGCCTCTATGGCCCCGGCCAGGCTCCTCCAGTCAAATTGATTGGGATTGAATACTCACCAGTCCTTCCGTATTTCTTGGCGTCAAGTGCCTTCAGTTCTCTGCTGAGCTGACAATCACTCTCAAACAATGACAGCCACTGACTGCATGGAAAGATCCAAGTCTTCTTGCTTGTTAGCTGAGTGACTTCAATAGACTCTAACAACCAGCCCTGCTTCTTCTCTAGACCATCATGCTAAAAAAAATAATATGAGACATACACGAATGGTAAATTACTTCTGGGAAAGAACTGGGAGTGGTGCTAATAGAGAAGGCTAGGAACCGAGGGTTGTGGAACAGCATGACCGCCAAAGTCAATCGATATGGCACTTAGAGAGAGAGCTACATCACTTACCTCAATGGTCAGAGACTTCAATTCACCTAGGTCCTGGCTCTTTATCTTGAACGTCTTGGTTGAGTTGCGGCTGAATTTGACCGACGGCAGTCCGGAGTTTGTCTTAGACTGTTTGTTCTTTGATGTGTTGGTTAGTTTCCTCTTTGGCATTTTGCCCTTGCTGCCTTTGAGCTGTATGGTGACCTGTGAATGACAACCACAATGACAATCTCAATAGGCCTATCTTCATCAGCTCGAGGTTGCCAAATATCCCGCTATTTGAACTATCCCGATTGCAAATTATCCTAATGTCCTTTGACAAGACATTAATCTACATTTGAAACTCCGTACCCAGGAGAGAAATGACCTGGTATGATGACAATAGCCTTTGTGTTTCTTATTTCCATATGCCCTCACGGTGACCATATGGTAGGAATACTCCCGAGGGAGGGGAGATGGTGCACATTGTGCATGAATGAATCCTATGACTGGGGTAATAATATCTGCAAAGCGCTTAGAGACTGTATGTATTTCGTCTTAAGCACTGCATATATATCCAGATTATTAATATTTTCATTACTAATTTCTTAAGTGAAAATGATGCTTACAGTTGCTGTTGTGCCGCAATTCTTCTTGTCACCAGTTTGAACTTTGACCTGATAGGTCACTTCAGGTCCTGACCCCTTGGGTCTGCCGTTGCCAAGACGACTGCTTGCACTTTGTGGTCTCTTTTTCTGGAGATATGAAAGTGATAAAAGCATTAGCACATACAGTCAAACCTGCTTTAGTAACCATCTGTCTGTTTATATTGACCATCTATCTGTATAGACCACATTTTTTCGTTTCCCTTGAATATAGTTTCTCGTTGGATCTTGTACTATAGGAATCTGTACATACAGACCACCTGCCTATTAATACCACTGTTGATGTTTAAGGATAAAAGAAGAAATGAATTAATGCCCAAATGAATAAATCAATTAATCAATTAATAAACAAACATTTATCCATCCGTCCATATACACACATTAAACAAATGAATAAACAAATTGATTATTTAATAATTATGCATAAGATAGACAACTACAAACATTCATCCATCTGTCCATAATATACACACATTAAATAAATGAATAAATAAATTAATTAATCAATAATTATGCATTTAATATAGATAGCTACCAACATTCATCCATCCGTCCATATATACACACACATAAATTCCTTGAAATGCTAGAGCGCCCTAATGGCAGCGGTGCTAAAGCCAGGGTAAAAAATCGGGAGCGCCAGGAGTGTCAAAGTCTGACAGACATGAGCGCTATACAAGAACCCACTATTATTATTATTATTATTATTAAAGACCGTCAATACTACTGGGCCAGAAGGGATTAGACCACACAGCGAGGTCACTGACAGGTGGCTATCTCATTAACTCAGCTCTCAACTAACATAAGAAAAAGAGGATCATGGGGACCAACAGGCACCGATTGGGGAAGTTTTCTAAATAGAGGGAGCAAGTAGCTACAAGTAGGACAGTGGGACTTTAAATGAATGAATAAATATATAAATTAATATTTACTTACCATTCCTGGAGGTGGTTTGGGCAGCTGCACACCAAACTTCTTGGCATAGTACTCAGTAAGATGTGGATCGCTAAAGGAGTTGTATTCAGGCAGTGCTATCTTACGGCCGTTCTCTACCCGGGGGTAGACGACGGCTCGCATTCGTGCATCGGAACTCAGTGTGTCTAATCTTCTTGCTGTAATATAATAATAATATGAATAATAATAATAATCTTTTTAAAGTCCACTCCAAATTTTATTAAGTTAAACCGAAAATGGAAATTCTTTTTGCCCAATTGATTGTGATCCCGGCAGCCACTGAGCCACTGTCACTATTACTGATTTCAAGTAAAGCAATATGTCACTGTTACTGATTTCAAGTAAAGCTGTTACACTGTCACTGTTTTGAATTAAAGCTGTAATACACTGTCACTGTTGATGATTTCAAGTAAAGCTGATACACTGTCACTGTTACTTTTACACTGTTACTGATTTCAAGTAGAGCTATTACACTGTCACTGTTACTGTAACTGCAAGGATTTCAACCAGTTTCTTACCAGCATAGGGCGCTATTCTGCTCATCTGACTATCGTTGCTTGTGTGACGTAACGACAGGTTGAACTTTCGTTGCTGCTTGGTGAAATCGTTGGATCGGGCATCGCGCCAGTTTGGCTTGCCTCCCACGGTGGGCCTCTTCATGGGTGCTGTAATGAACAAATCATATTAAAAAAGTGAGTTTCGATACACCATGACCTCAGAAAGAAGATATGTACTGTATTTGCTGGCGTAAAGGCCACAGTAATTTCGGAAGAGAAAATATCAAAAAGTCTGGGTGCGGCCTATGCTCCACAAGAGTAAAAAATCGCAAGTGAAAACCATGAAATCAGCACAAACTAGAATAACATGTGTCTTACCGATGTAATACTGATGACATTACCATGGGTAAATAAGACAATCATTACTGGTAATCATAACCATCATCATCATTAAGAATGCCAGCATCATCATTATCATCAGCATTGAAATTGAACTGAACTTAGGCTGTGTTTTAATACCATGTACAGTAGTTGTACCTTCATATCAAATTTCATTAAAATTTGTCCAACATATACTCAAGTTATCGAACGGAAACCAGATTTGCATATTTAATGAGCTATGACCTTTGACCCACATATTCCAAAATTTAACTTAGGCTGTGATTTGATACCATGTATCTACATATCAAATTTCATTAAAATTTGTCAAATATTACTCAAGTTATCGAATGGAAACCAGATTCGCATATTTAATGAGCTATGACCTTTGACCTACATACTCCAAAATCAAATTTGGGCTGTGTTTTGATACCATGAACCTTCATATCAAATTTCATTAAAATTTGTCAAACATCACTAAAGTTATCGATCGGAAACCAAATTTGTTATGGACGCACGCACGCACGGAAGGAAGGACGGCTGGCAGCGTTTCTACATCCCCTCCGACTTCGTCGGCGAGGGGATAAAAATAATGTCATCATCACCATCATGATCGCCATCATGATCATCATCATCATCATCATCATCACCACCATCATCATCATCATCATCATCATCATCATCATCATCATCATCATCATCATCATCATCATCATCATCATCATCACCATCATCATCTCCATGATCGTAGAATCAAAAGAAACTACAGTGTACACAACAGTTGATTACCTGAATGTGGTCTTGGTCTTGGTCTATCCACAGCAAATGGAGGGTGTGGCTCTCTCGTAGGAACAGGTCTAGCCCAGGTAGGGTTCTGGACCATGCTGGACCTGACTGCTTCTGAGTTATGCATCCTGGTCCCGGCCCTGTCCTACCCTGTCACTGCAAGGAGAATTACAAGGAGGGAAAGAGAAACAAAGAGTTCAAGGACTGACATACAAAACGGTCTGATTAAAGGTAATACAAAGTTTTGGGAAATTTTGAAAATTGGGTGGATGGTGATTCTTTACAATTTTGATATATTTGGAGGCCCCTGTAGATGTATTATAAGCACTAGAAAATGTAGCCCCTAAAACACTTCTGTTTTCGAGAAAAATTGAATGCAACAATTTACTGGTGCTCCCGGTAAATTTTGATAGATTTCAAATAGTGCCTCCTGCCGTACAATGGTAGCTGCGACCATGAAATTCTCAGAATAATAAAATAATAATAATAACAATATTTATAAAGCGCAACATATCCATCTCTAGAGATGCTCAAGGCGCATAGCTGTGATATATAATTTCCAAACAGGAATAGCTAATCGGTCGATTTTAGTCAAGCAACATTGTTTTATAGCATAATTAATATCTTGACCTTGAGAGGGAGCTATACAGTTTATTATACAGCTAGAGTTTATTATCTACAATTTAATAACTTTAGACTCGATTTCAACTGCGACAACGATCATTGAATATTGTAGGATCGCACATGCTTCCACTATGTTCATTTGAACCAATTTCATGACCCCAAACCAAAACTTTGTATTACCTTTAATATTTTTACTACACTGTATTATTGTCAATATTATCATCAAGCAATGTTATCATTATTATAATTATACTTATTCTCATCATTATCATTTTCATGACTATCATCGTTATTATTATTATCATCAATTCATCATAATGTTACTATTATCATCAATTTGAGAGCTGGCTATACAGGTGAACATGTCCCCTCCTTCGGCCCCAGTCTCTCTCAACCCATCTAATGTTCTTTTAATATCCAGGTAACACACCTATCCAAACTAATGTACATGTAACTCCAAAGACAAAAAGTTAAACAGCATGCTTCATCATTCTCCACTCATACTTTCTCCTCCTCCTCCCCATCCCGCTTCTCTCACATCTTCCTCAGTGTTAGTTATTCCCCATCTCCTCCCCCTCTCATCTGGCTTTTACATGAACATCTCTTTCACCCCATCCCTCTCTCTCTCCCCCCCCCCCCCCCTCTCTCTCTCTCTCTCCCTGTCTGTCCGTCTCTCTCTCTCCCTGTTTGTCTCTTTGTTTCTCTCTCTCTCTCTCTGTCTTTCTCCCTCTCTCTCTCTCTCTCTCTCTCTCCCTCCCTCCCTCCCCCCCCCCCCTCTGTCTCTCTCTCTCTCTCTTTCTCTCCCTCTGTCTCTCTCGCTCAACCAGCTGATTTAAGCAGATACCCATCTCATCTCTCTGCATGCACACACATCATCTTCCCTTTTCTCCCCAAATACTACTCTTTCTTTCCCCTCTTCTCCGGCCTCTCTCTAGAGCTCCTTCACAACCACCCCCCCCCCCCACACCCACCTTCCCTTTCACACTGTGTTAAATAACACCAACCAATAACACGCCTGTCCAAACACAAAAGTAGCGCGCATCCCATGCACTCAAAGACCATCAAAACACAGGCCTCTTCCATTACGCACGCCAATAAGCCTCTCATGCTCCGTCGTCATGGCGATAAAAGAGAAGGCTGATTCCCAAACCAGCTTGCTATGAATGAGATGACGCAGGAATGATGAGATAAGACTTCATTCAACATTATTGTATCCTATTTTAGTAAAAGAACACCATAATGCCTGATTTATTTTGAATCGTGCTAAATTGATACCATTATCGATCGATGCTCTTAAGGTTTGATGAGAGTGTGGGAGCTATTAAGTAGAATTTATAAGTCCCTGATACAGAGCTCACATGTAGATTATGTGGGGTATTAGTTAGTCCTCTAAATGTAAACTTTAAAAATGCTTTTTGTCATTAAGGGCATTGTTTAACAATGCCAAATCTGCCAAATCTGCATGGCCCTACATGTTATCAGCGTCTGTAATATGCTGTAATATTGAAACCTTAAAAAACAAAAATTCATTCACCTGCGCTTTTCACAGGTTTTTTCCTGCCAAGGAGACCCCCTAAATCCCCTTTTCAAATTTCTTCGGAGTCCAAAGAGATCAGGGAAAAAATTAATATTTATTTTTCGGGGGCTACTTTTCAAGCTTGCCTGCATAAAAATTACATTCTAAAATTTGTTTTTCATTGAACTCTATGCAAATTTATGGGGGCTCTTTTCTAATTTTCGGGGGCTCTTTTGGCCATTTCGGGGGCAAATTCGCCCTGAGCCCCCGTGAATTTTTTCACTGAAAGAGATCGAGGGAGAGAAAAACAAAACACTTTCTTCAACCGAGCTCTTCAAGAGGAATTCTTGACCACTTCTGGGTATATGTTCATGTACAGTGTAAATTGTGTACTGTACCTGCCAGTCAATAAAGCAAGGCTATTCTAATGTTGTAACCTACATACATTGTAGTCATTATCCATGTGTATTGCATCATAATTCGCTGACACTAGATTTGGTTTTACATCTGTGTACATACATTATGTGTGTGCAAAAGTTTCTGAAGCAGCAAACCCATAGTCCCTGGCCCGTGCCCCCCCCCCCCCACTCCGAAGTCAGAGGGACCGCATTCGTGTTTCCAAAATGTCCGGTAAAGGGGTACTTTTAGCATGACAAAGTCAGGCCCGCTAAACTGTAAAAAAAAAAGGGTTTATTTGACTTCTCACTCAAAAAAAAAAAATTCTCTCTCTCTCTCTCTTTGGATCCTTGAGAAATTAAAAGAGGGTGGTATAACATAATAAAAAGGGGGTGTATTTTTTTCTCTCCCTCTCTTTGGACTCCTGAGAAATTTTTTAAAAGGGGATTTAGGATGGTCTTCAAGGCAGGAAAAGCCTTTGAAAAGCGTAGGTGAATGAAATAATTGGTACTAAGGCACTTCACATAAATGAATGTATTGACTTTGGTTACATTAGGTATAATTACACGTAGATTATTAATGTACAAAGCCAATTATTAGAGCATGTGTAATCCCCTCTATTTCTCTGACCTGGAGAACGCAACAAGAACACCAACCCACCATCCCTTCAATCCACTAATCAATCGTCATGACAACAGTGGAACACACCGGTGAATGCCATTGGCAATTAATCAATGAGGTACGCATCACGCTCTGTTCAAGCAATCAGGCTCAAGGTACGACAATCGTCATTGAATATTGCATGTATACTACATGTACAATGCAGTCCTAAAATAGCTTCTTCTCACCTGCAGATGATTGCAACATTTGTCCACGCATCTTGTAATATTAAAGATGCACCTGTAGTTCTATTAGTACATATTGCATAGGGTACAGAGTATACAATGTCTGTCTAACTAAAAAGTGGGCTGAAAATATATTGACAGCCTATATGTTCTTCTCTCTCTCTCTCACTATCACTCTTTCTCTCTTTCTCTCGATATCACTTTCTCCCTCGCTATATACAGGTGTATACATGTATCACTATCTCTCTCTATCACTCTCTCTCACTATCTGTCTCTCTCTCTCTCGCTCTCTATCACTCTCTCTCTCTCTCTCTCTCTCTCGCTCTCACTCTCTCTTTCTTTCTCACTATATCTCTCCATCTCATTCTGTCTCTCTGTCTCTCCCTGTCTCTGTCCCTCTTTGGAGCATAAGAACTTACCGGTAGTCATCAATTTTAATTCATCTAACTGCATCCGACTTAATTCTAATTGCGCAGTAGAATAACCCATCTAACTCTAAGTGATATTTGTTTTTCTGACCATGAAACGGTCAAATGAAAAATCTGGGTAAGGGCTCAAGTTTTATAATAATATTGTAATACATGTACATGTAGCATGACAATTCTCAAGTACAGGGGGTTAGGAGTTCCAGGTTATTGAGCAGGGAAAAAATTAATATTTATTTTTCGGGGGCTACTTTTCGACCTTGCCGGCATGAAAATAACATTCTAAAATTTGTTTTACATTGAACTCTATGCAAATTTAAAGGGGCTCTTTTCTGATTTTCGGGGGCTCTTTTGGGCATTTCGGGGGCTATTTCGCCCTGAGCCCCCGTGTATTTTTTTCACTGTTATTGAGATACCAAATCTGCATGCAATACAATACTACATGTAGCTTAAAAATCGATGAAGCTAAATTACGATCATTTCGAGGTAAAGTTCTTGGAAATTTATAAGAATATTGATGAATTTGGTATCAGCTTGTAGAAAAAATAGTGTTCTAGGGCAGGTCCAAGCTATTTGCTTTGTGACGTACGGGACATTCAGAGACTTTAAACAAGAAATAACAATGGATTACATTATTTATATGGCTATCTTTTGGTATGAGTCTGTGGCTATTATGGGCTAGTTCATTTGTGGAAAGTTTTAGTTCTGACCAATTCATAAATTAATTTTTAATGTAATTAATGTGCTGCGTGACGTACGGGACCAGAGAATATCTGACTTTTTCAAAAATAAGTTCATCATAAAAGTTCTCTGAATTTATTAAGTTATGAGATTTATGGTAATGATATCTTAATTCATTATGGAATCAAGCATTAATCACAACTATTACCATATTTTTCTGACCTTTCGTTGTTATGTAATATACCAAAACATAAATGTTTGTACATAATGTGACATACGGGACAACTTTTCCCTATGGGAAAATGCATTGAAATGAAGAATTTTTGTCAAAATTTGTTAAATGTGAATAATTTTAACTTAAATCAGTGACAATTAGAGTGTTTTAGAACCCAATTAGATCCTCTGACCATCACTTAATATCCTCTGTGTTAATTTATGGGGTAAATCAATACAAATTGAATTAATATATTCATACACACTATATTACCATTTTAATTCCATTTACCCATCTACAATGTATCATGTGCAGTCATGCTTCTTTTCTCATTTCTTTTATCCATTCCATTCAACAGTGCTACATGTAAATGTTTTAAAATAATAATTAATGAAGAAGATGAACTTGAACTTGAAAACTTTTATTTAAACTTGTTTGGAACACGGGCACACTCG